AAAGAACTTTGTCAAGAGGTCGGTGGGGTTAAGTGTCAAAGAGGCCGGTTGTCACATAGCTAAACATAAAATGGAGGGTGAGGCCAGGGTTTGTCGTCACATTTCTTACTCTAAAGTGAATAACTCATGATCAATACATCTTTCAGAAGTCTGTGTGACACAGGATAAAAGCCTGAGGTCTTGTTTTTGAAAGGGTTGTTTCTGTTATTCTTATAGCTTAATTTATGAACAAGTTATGAACCGTCAAAGAAACTTGCAGACAATGTGACAACCAGCCCCATTCCTGGGTTGGTTGCCACAGTGTATGAGGCTATTAAATCGGTTTAGTTGGAAAAAATAAGAGTTAAAAAGTCCAACTATTCTGTTAAACTCCGAGATGCTTTTCACCTCAGATTTTATTTGTTTGAACCTCTTTAATTAGGAAAGATGACTGTTTTTACTGTTGACAAAATGCAAAATTTAGAATTTTCACATGCTAAATAAAGCTCCTGTGGTAGTTTTATTGACGATCATGAAATGGTCTGAACTTCATATCAGTGCCTTGTTATGATATACAGTGCCTTAAAAAAGTATTCATACCCCTTGATCTTTTTTACATTTTGTCACTCTACAGCCACAAACTTGAAAGTATTTAATGAGATTTTTTTGACATGGACCAACACAAAGTAGCACATAATTGTGAAGTGGAACGAAAATGATTCATGGTTTTCAAAAATTTAAACAAATAAAAATCTGAAAAGTGTGGTGTGCATTTGTATTCAGCCCCCCTGTGTCAATACTTTGTAGAGCCACCTTTTGCTGCAATTACAGCTGCAAGTCTTTTGGGGTATGTCTCTACAAGCTTTGCACATCTAGAGACTCAATTTTTTGCCCATTCTTCTTTGCAAAATAGCTCAAGCTCAGCCAGATTGGATGGAGAACATCTGTGAACAGCATTTTTCAAGTCTTGTCATAGATGCTCAATGGGATTTAGGTCTGGACTTTGACTTGGCCATCCTAACACATGAATATTCTTTGATCTAAACCATTCCATTGTAGCTCTGGCTGTATGTTTAGGGTCATTGTCTTGCTGGAAGGTGAATCTCTTTCCCGGTCTCAAGTCTTTTGCAGCCTCCAACAGGTTTTCTTCCAGGACTGCCCTGTATTTAGCTCCATCCATCCTCCCATCAACTCTGACCAGCTTCCCTGTCCGTGCTGAAGAAAAGCATCTCCACAGCATGAGGCTGCCACCACCATGTTTCACAGTGGGGATGGTGTGTTCAGGGTGATGAGCAGTGTTACTTTTCCGCCACACAAAGCGCTTTGCATTCAGGCCAAAAAGTTCAACTTTGGTCTCATCTGACCAGAGCACCTTCTTCCACATGTTTGCTGTGTCCCCTACATGGCTTGTGGCAAACTGCAAACAGGACTTTTTATGCCTTTCTGTCAACAATAGCTTTCTTCTTGCCACTCTTCCATAAAGGCTAGATTTGTGGAGTACACGACTTATAGTTGTCCTGTGGACAGATTCTCCCACCTGAGCTGTGGATTTGTGCAGATCCTCTAGAGTGACCATGGGCCTCTTGGCTGCTTCTCTCATCAGTGCTCTCCTTGGTCTTGGTCTGTTAGTTTAGGTGGACAGCCATGTCTTGGTAGGTTAGCAGTTGTGGCATATTTCTTCTATTTTTGGATGATGGATTGAACAGTGCTCCTTGAGATGTTCAAAGCTTTGGATATATATTTTTTTTTATAACCTTACCCTGCTTTAAACTTCTCTTCAACTTTTCCCCTGACCTGTCTGGTGATTTCCTTGGACTTCATGATGCTCTTTGTTGACTAGTGTTCTCTAACAAAGCACTGAGGCCTTCATAGAACAGTTGTATTTATGCTGTTACTAAATTACACACAGGTGGACTCTATTAACTAATTAGGTGACTTCTGAAGGCAATTGATTGCACTGCATTTTATTTAGGGGTATCCGAGTACAGGGGGGCTGAATACAAATGCACACCACACTTTTCAGATTTTTATTTGTTTAAATTTTTTGAAAACCATGAATCATTTTCGTTCCACTTCACAATTATGTGCTACTTTGTGTTGGTCTATGACAAAAAATCTCAGTAAAATACTTTTAAGTTTGTAGTTGTAGAGTGACAAAATGTGAAAAAGTTCATGGGGTATGAAATTTTTTTCAAGGCAATAACAAGGCACTGTATAAAGGCAAACGGCAATCAGAAATGAGTTGAGTGATTTTTATCATTTAACTTTTAAAGCTTGAAACTGGTGTGAGGGGGTAGGAGCTTAGACTGTATATAGAATGGATGTCTTCTGCCTCCTTGCTAGGTGAAGCCTCATTGGGAACAGCACCCTCTGGTGACGGGCTGCAGTATAGGTCATAAACCCCACCTCCTCCAGCAAAACGAATGGAGCTGTCGACAAACTGTATAAATTAATGACACAGAATATAGATTTTTTTCTCCCCCCTGGTTGCGATGTTGACATGTCGTTACTATCAGACTGGTTTGTGCTCAAGTCCTCTTTTTTCTGTGAAACTCCATTAAAAGTTATTAGGGGGTTCATGTTTTCTATGATTGACACCTGATACAGCCTATGGGCGTACGAAGATTGTGTAGCTCATCTGGGGTTATACACTGTTTGCACTGAGTGTTATCACAGTGACTCTCACACTGAATGCTACTGCACAAATGCTGGTTTCAGGAAATGGAGAAAATCCTGCGAATACTGAGGGCAATTTGGCTACAAATTCATATAATGATGAGAGGTGGAGCCAAGTTGTTCATACTATATACAGTCTATGGGTAGGAGTCAGTGGAGACACTGATGGAAAAGCTCTGTTTTTACAATTTCAACTTTAATAAAAAAAAAAAACCACACACAAAAAAGAAATAAAAAGATTGATCTGTGAAAAGTCAGCAAGGTTGGCATTTTTGTCAGAAGACTCAACTCAAGAAAAAAGCATGTAGAGGACAAGCAAAATTTTTTTGTATACAGGGGCCACCAAAACTGTCACAAGCCGAAAGTTTCTCACAGGACCTTTGAACTACGTTATGGGAGTGTGTGAGAGATAAATGTGTGTTTGTGTTTCATCAAAAAAATTTGGAACCAAATGAGCAGCAAACATTTGTTTGTCTTACCAACAGTCCTTCTGAACTGATCAGACAGAAAAATAAACCAAAAAGAAAGATCAGAAGTTTCCTGGGTCGCAGAGATGCTCAGATTTGTCTCTCACAAGTGGTGAGAAAAAACAAAACTGAGCAGGTGTGTGTCAACCAGCCACACCTGACCTTATAAAAAGGATTTAGTGTGAGCTGTCACAGAGTTCTTGGCTAGGAAGCTGAAACCAGGCTTAAATGAAAGCTTTTAGCTTTCACTTTTTCAACCAACCAACCAACCAACCAACCATCCATCCATCCATCCATCCATCACTTTATTTATAAAGCACTTTTTATACATGGACTGTATCACAAAGTGCTGTATATTGAAGAACACAAGTAGGAGAGGATCGGGGGATACCAAATAATATACAAGATAAAATACAAATTGCAAAACCCCACCCGCCCACCCTCTAAGCCCACATTTAACAAAGAACCCACCACCCACCCACACAGACACACACACACACACACACACACACACACACACACACACACACACACACACACACACACACACACACACACACACACTGGGACACCAATCAGGGCTCAGCAGGAAGCCCCAGAGGACCAAGGAAACACTATTTTAAACTAAAATGGGGAAACACAGGAGCTGAAGCTAAACTGATAAAACCATGATAAGATAAAATAAAATGATAGAAAATAAAACCAAATAAAATAGTAATAATAATAAAATAATAATAATCATAAAAAAATATTATATGATAAAACTGTTTTTAAATCAAACAATAAAAGAAAATAAAAAAATAGTGTTAAAACATAAAATAATAATTCTGGGACTAAAGTGGAGTAAAATACATAAGATAAAAAGAGTAGACTAAAAGAGAGGCTAGAAGAATAAAAAAAAAATCAGCTAAAAGCTTAATCGATGTTGGATTGTGAAATGACTAATCACTTTGAAACTTTTAATACAAACATTTCATCAGTATGAAAAATGACCTGACTCATAGAAATTGCACAGCATCTTCTCCTCTCAGTGCCATATGCCTGATTAAAAAGTCAGCTACATAAAAATGCACGTCAGACCAAATGTTTGACACAAACATCAAGATGCACAACCTTTGAGTTTGGCTGTCATAAGCAATGTGACGACCAATTTGTGAGAGAACCAACAGCTATTTTAAGGCTGTTTGTGTGGCCCAGGATATTTCTAGTATTTTTTCTTTTACAGAAAAGTGTTTTTTAAAAATGTTTAAAAAGTCATATATTTTAACTCATACAAATTTGAAATCTAAATGACCAAGCCCTTATATTTTGCAACCATCTTCAGGATGGGGTTAGTGTATCATTTGAGGTTAATAACTTGCTGTTAAATTAATTTACAAGACTAAAAGGGGTACTGACGCGACTCAAGCCCACAAAGGTCTGTTCATTGTCGGTGCCACCACAGAAAGAGGTATTGATCAAGATGTGTGAAAAAGTTTGACATACAACCATGTCTTCTTTACAGGCAAAATTTAACTACAAACTGCTTTCTTCTTTTATAGAGCTGAGCTTTAAATTAGTTGTGACTGTTGAAATGAATCTGTCCTGAGCTGTAGCTGTTGCATACTGACAAAGGATACACTGTAGCTGCTGCTCCAAGCTGTCTGAAAATCTAGCTACCCACAGGTGCTGTATACTCTCACAGCCTGTTGACTACATGCAGTTAAAAATAGAGCCATATGCACATTTGGAAACTTCTGAGGTTATTTGAAAGCATGTGAACTGAATGCTTTCTTATCAAAACCTTTGAGTTTCCAAGCCTAAATCCCAAGTGATGAATAATAACCCTGTTAACTTCTACAGGACTGGCGTTAGATTATGTCTCTATACAAAGAAAAGCACTGTGCATGGATTTATTAACCATTTGCAAACAATTTTATTATTGCAAAATGTACCATTGGAAGCCTTCATTTCTTTTTAAAACTGCACGTAACAACATGAAAAGTGCTTCTGATCTCATAGAGCAGTTCAATGCACCCCAGATCACTGAGTGCTGGAGGGGGGTTATAGAAAAGAAGGCAGGGCATGTAGGTCACCAGGGGACACATCTGATTATGACACAGAGGTGTGCTGTTCTGTACATTTTAACTGACTCCAAATGTGACAGGAGGACAAGCACATTCAGTCTTTCCCTGATATGGGGAACATATCAGGACACCTGACAATAAAACCTGAAATTCAAAACCCCAAAGCTCCCAGCTGGTGAGAAAAATCTGTTTGGATAAACAGCTCAACTGGCAGAATAACAAGACATCAAAAAAAAGAATAAGTCACTACACAGGAGCAAAATTTCAAATAAATAAAGTCAAAGTGGTGATTTTGACTTTTTTTTAACAGAAGTGACTTGTGCTCAGGATCAGATTTTGACTCAAAAACACTTGACAGAATTCAAATAAAGGGAACAGACATCAAACATGAACCATCAACACTCTCTCTCTTAACACTAAGCCTACTTTACCTTTTAGCGATGCAAATCACTTTAATTGACAGAAAGGAGCTTCATTTTCTTTATCCGCTTGTTTAAGCAGGCCTAATGGCATAATCCGTCCCCGCAGCATGCATCCGTCTTGTTGAAATCTTTCCATCTGCTCTCACGCGCTGGCACACACACACGCACGCACGCACACTCACACACAGTGTAATTTACCATGTTTCAATATAGTTTTTTCTTTATACAAAACTCTCCATATAGTTGTCAGCATTTGTTGAACATTATCTGAGATGCAGACAGTCAAATTACATCCATAGAAAAGTATTTACAAAGGTTAAGTGCATCTTCCATAAAAGTCCTGCCATTGACCTCTTTGTGTTTTAGACTAAGTCTGAAATAGCTGAGATTAGATACTGCATGTGGGAAAATCTCCAGAATTAACAACAGGTAGAGCTCCTAAGAAGGAATATGCAAACAATGCAGTATTTTTCAAAATCTGATCTATACAAAAGAAAAAAAAACATCAGGGCTCCATTTGTACATTTAATCATCTGAAAATACAAATATATCTAATGTGCATTTGTACAGTTACACAGTTAGTACCCAGCTCAGTTATGCTGTTATATATTCCTTAAATGTGACTGTGAGGCAGTTCGTAGTGATGTCTGTGATGATAATATTCCCCAGGAAAGGCTGGACAGAGGGAAAAGTCCCTTCTTTTCTCTTTGCGTGTTTAGAGACAGGTATCATTTTAACTTTTCCTTCCTGTGTGGATTTTTGTGTTTCAGTTTGTGGCTGAGTTTCTGCCTGTGCTGTTTGTGTTTCAGATTGTGTGTCTGTTTTATGCAATTGTGTTTCAGGCTGTGCCACAGTTTCAGCCTGCAGATGTGTTTTAGCTTCAGTAAGGCTGGGCCTTGATTTGACAATGCTCAAGTCCATAGGTTCCTCCTGGTCTGCATACCCACAGAGTGGCAGTCCCATGTGACTCTGGTGTCCGTTTTGGTCGACGCTGATGCTTTGGGTGGGTGATGATACTGTGTCAGGAGCACTGCTACTCCTGGAACTAAGAAACCGCTTACTGCTTGCATGCTCCTCACTGTCACTGTCAGAAAAATGCCGCTTCAGTCCCTGAAATCCACCTTGGCTCTCTCTTTTGTTCAGGGAGGGGGGGACTCCCCTCTCCAAAGGCAGGGAGAGCAGATTAGACGTGGTTGCCAGTTGTAAAGGCTGATCCGCTGGAAGCTGCCCCTGACCCCTGACCTCAGGGTGTTTATCCTGTTCCGTCACAGTTGGCTCTGTTTTGGGAGACTGTTCCTTTTCTCTGGGACAATTGCCGTTAAATCCAGAAGTGAGAACAGTTGGTTTGTCTTTCGGTTTCTTTGCAAATCCATTCATGAGGCCAAGCTTCTTGACAAGTCTCATCTTCTCCAGATGATTCTCTGTGCTGGTCTCAGTCCCTTGAGCCAGCTTTTCAGCTGATCCTGAATCCCCGTTTTTAATCTTGGCTGCCTTCATTCCGTTTTCCATGTACTTGCTCATGACTATCACAATCCGCCCGTTCTTGTTCTTGTTTTTCACAATCTTTAGCTTGCTGCTGCTGACGCCATTCGACTGTGATACTGCGTTCTCTTCAGGCTTCACCCTCTCCGTCTCTTTGTGCCCGTTGACGTCTACTGGGAGCTTCTTCAGCTCCATTGTGATATCTTTGACTTTAGTCAGGCAGCCTGAGTCTTTGTCCCTCACCCACTTCTGCTGCAGCACCGGGGGAAGGTTGTACCCTTTATTGACCAGCTCTGGAGTTCTGATCTCCCTTGGTTTGGCAAACATGGGCTCGTGCACCTTGAGATCTGGCTGGTAGTGGTGGTGCTTCTTGCTGTTGAGCTGATAATAGAACTTCTTCCCGTTGGCTTGCTGTTCGGCCTCACGCTCTGTGCACAGAGGCTGGTACTGGTGGTGCTTCTTGCTGTTCAGCTGGTACTGCTGACCCTGTGGACGGAGCATCTGAATGGGGCTTGTTTTCTGGCAGCTGTCCTCATCCAGTGCTGCCCCATGAAGGTCTGCCAGAATACTGGATCTCCTTGCAAAGGATGGAACCTGTAATGCCAGACAGAGATTTCAGTTGTTAAAAAAGCACTGATAAGTGACAGAGCTCAGTCCACAAGTATTCACAGCAGGGCTTTGATGAATGCTTCAACTGCCTACAGTATCTACACATGTGTCTATGTCAGCCAACACAAAAAGCTGAGGTTCATTGACGCCCTTTTAAGCAGCACTGGAGAAACTGTGCCTGGAATGTGTGAAGAGGCTCTTCTGAGGCCCCAATGTGCCCATGGTTTATTCCAGGGGCCCTTGTCCATGTTCACACAGCTCTCCTACAGCTCTATGCGTCTCTTTCAGCCACCGGCTCGGCCATCAGAGTGACATTTCAAAGTGTCTCCTGTGGCTGTGACCTCAGCTCAGAGGAATGTCACTGGCTGCTTTGTGTCCTGTCGTTGACTTTATCCCATGTGTTACTACCAACACCCTCCTGAGTGGAACAAAAAGTCTCCTCTGAGGGGTTCCCTTGGCCTTTTGGATGGCTGATTGATGCACTTAATGTACGGTTCACAGTCATTTAGATACCACTGTTAGGTCAGGGGGCTGGTCCCTATAACATTTATGGTGATAGAAGCCTTGGATTTCTATTGTTTGTGATAAATTGTTTCCTTTTTAACACCAGAGCACTCCCAACAACTATGTTAAAGGGCTATTACCCTAATTTCATACATGAAATCAGTGATCTCACAAACTCAACTCTGGTATAATTATGGTGTGGCGGAGACTATGACACAAAAGCATTAAGAATAGGAAACTTGCACGATACCTACAAGCTGCATGAAGGGAAATTAGACAACTAGTCTTCATGCTTTTTCTTTCTGGTGTTTCAAATTTGTAAAATTCCTAAAATCTCTCTCTTATGCATTAACTAACTTTATAGTTGTGCGTTTTCTGATCCCCTGGAGGGTCTCTTTAAATCCACTAGACATCAAAAGTGCCAAGAAGAGAAGCAACATACCTGAACTTTCCTAAAAGATAGATTGGTTTGTTATTATGAATGGATAGTGATTGCCAGATGTTATGTGTCTTACAGTACACTAAGTTCTTCTATCCAGGACCACTTTCATCACAGAGGATGAATAATTTGCATGATATTAGTTAAATTCTTTGGTCTGGCTCATTTTATAGAGCTCCTTTCTCGTCGATGTGTGTAGATGAAATGCCAAAGTCTGAGGCAGGACGAGCAGCAGCAAAGACACCGGGGTACGAAATAGAGCAGGCATCAGTAGCAAACATGAATCAAAATAAAATCAGACCCATCAGAAAAAGAGGAATTGGGGTTGAGTCGGATTGCTAAGCAGTTTGCAGTAGGAAGTGTAGGCAGGTTTAACTCGCTTAAATAGAGCAAGTAACATAACTTGCTAATCGCATGTGTAGAAAGAAATCAGTTGAACTTTCAGCTTATATAGGTTGCCATACAGCTTAGCTCATCCACCCTGAGCTGAGCCTGACTTCATGCCCTGCATGAGCTAACACTGTGCTCATTTTTCCCCTTTAACTTTGGAAGTAAATCTATTTCAAATAAAATGTGTTTCTTGTTTCTGTTTGTTTGTTTTTTCTTGAAAATCAAGATAGTTTTTATTTTTCTCACCTGAACCAGAAGGTGCTTTGGCTTGGGTCCTCTCTTGCGGTATCCCATCAGCTGTTCTTGACGTTCCCTGTGGGAGAGGAAAACAGCAGCCAATCAGTGAAACCATCTCACAGAGATAAGTTGCTGTTGCATGGCAACACAGCATCACGGGTGTCCTCCTCCGGCCCAATTAGACAACACTGAGCCCATGTTACAGGTTGGAGACACACTTTCAGATGTAAAATGAAATTCATTGACCACAGATTGGAAAGGAGAACATTTAACTCTGAAATACCCATCTTTGCATGGTATCTCAACTTTTCTTATGTGTAACATCTCATTACAATTTAATGACAGCCATAAAAAGGCAAATAGTGACTCCAAATGGTAACTCTAACATCCTCAGTAACTCTTATGTAATATCTGTTTTCACTGTAGAAGATGGGGGGCCGGCCCCACTCTAACTTTCCTCAGCTTTCCTTGGTCTTCATGCAAGTCTCCCTGATGCAGTCACTCAATATCGCAGACAGAAGTGATGTCAGTCCCCTCCCCCACCTTCCTCCTCACATCTAATTACAATACGACTCAGTGTATTTTCATAGCCTGGCATTCAGATGATTTGGCTCCCCAGAGAGACATGCAATTAGTTTCAATAAAATCTCTTCTCTTTAGAGAGGGAGAGGTAATTGCAAAAACAGACGCAGAATGATGTCGATGTTTTGCTTAAAGTGTGACCTGCGTCTAAGAGGTTGCTGTAAGCCAAAGCTGAGGGAGGCTATGGAAGGAAAGGCAGTGACAGTTTAACACCCCATGCCTGTAAGAAATTCAATTACTAAGTCCTTCACATGGAGCTGTCTGCTCAGTTAGCTGACAGACTAGTTGGAAGTAGCCAAGTGGCTAATTTCATCATGGTAGCCTAACACAGGGTCCTTTACCAAAAGAGGAAGATTTATAACGAGTTACAAAAAGTCCCCAGCTCACCTAAACCCTCAGTCCTGCTCAAGTTTCCGCTACACTATGAGCAGATGTTAAAAAAAAAAAAAAAGTTCATCATTATGCAAAGTTCCCCTTCACGTATAAATATATTTCACTTATTTTTAGTTCACTACACTGAAACTTGAGTCAGCTCTGTGAGGAAATTAGTTTTTTCAGTTTGGTACTGTTTTCAAATTTATCTCTCATGTAAAGGTTGTTCAAGTTTATATAAAAAATTGAAAAATGCCCCAAAACATGCTCTAAGAGTGTTTTTCTCAGTGAGGCTGGAGTTAAAACATTTGTTTAAAAAAAAAAAAAAACATGTCTAGTTTGACAGGTAATGTATTTTTTCAATGAGGAGGGAAAGCAGAACATATTGATCATTTGAGGGTTGTCTCATTTGTTAAACGCCCTGTGGAAGGGGACTCAGGTGGAACAGCAGGTAACACTTTAGCATGCTAACCTGATGCAACAGCTATCAGGTGACAAAAACTGACAGCCGTAAGGCCTCACACTTTGCTCTTGTGACCCTGAGCTGAACGTACCCTTAAACTGACCCTCCGATGACACCAGGGTTAATCCTAATCAAAACCCCCAAAGGCTCTGAATTTCTACACCCTATGTGGACTTCTTGTGAAGATAATTGTTCTGTCAACAATGGATTAACCAGATAGTGTGACATTATTGTTCCTGATGACATGCATACAGACAGCCCCTGCTTTTAACACATACCTGAGCCACAGATATCTCACATATTCTGTGAAGTAATAGAAACTTATTTGAATCTGTGCATTTAGATGGTAGAACTCAACACATGTAAAGTTTTTTTTTAATTAAAATCAAAATTCACCTGTCTTCAAAGGCATCAAGGAGTCTTGGGTCCAGGATGTTCTCCTCTGGTTCCCACGTGTTGTATCTGTGCAAAGAGTGGACAGAGAAGACACACTGGTAGGCATTAACAGGCATTGGTAGTGGATCAAATGAAATTCCTTTTATCTGACCCAATCATAATCCTTGATTTAATCATCAAAGTTCATATTTATAGGCATGCACAAGTGTAAACAGAATGCTGAGATACTTGCAGTCCCCGTGAATGCACGTGTTATAAATCACATGTAACTTTTACACATGGCTGTAGGGGGATGGAGGATTAAGTGGCTTAGCCTCCACTCAATTGTGGGTATATTGGTATTTCCTAAACACAGGGTCCTACTATAGACATGTCTCCTTTAATTGGCACACTGGGGATTGCATACATTGCAAAACCACATCCATCATTGAGGCCACAGCGTAAAGCGCCCAAAGCTAGAACGCGCAACGCCCAATTGCGCGCCCACGCTTGCACGGATGCATACAGTGACACATGGACACACTTATGTTTTTGAATGTTATCACTGCAAATGAGGTTGTGTTATCAAAGCAGACTTACTTAGGAGACCACCCTCGCCACTTGACAAGGTACTCAATCCTCCCCTGTGCATGGAAGAAAAACGGAAAAATCAGCGGTACGTTACTTTACGCAGCAGAATGCACCGTTATCTCAGAAAACATTAAACGCAAACAAAACACTTAATCCATAAGAGGATAGAAAAACACCAAACAGAAATAATGCTAATCTCCATTTGCATTATAATAAAATGTCCTTCAGTGGTCTTGTGACAAACCTTTCTGCTGCGCTTCTTCTCGATGCTCTCCACCGCAAAGACGTGTTCTCCCGCGGCGGGTAGCTCCATTTTCCGATACAAGTGCAGTCTCTCCTGTTTTTCCCTCCGTTTTTTCTTTTTTTTTTTTGTATCCGACCCTTAATCTTCGCTTTCAGGATGTTTTTTTTTTTGCCCTTCCCGCTTCCTTGAAGTCAAACAAGTACTCCTTCCACCTCCTTCTCGTACACTGGCTGCGTCTCTTCCCTCGCTTTCCCTCTCGGAGAGACTCGCTCTGCAGGCGGCTCCAGGCTGCAGCCAGAAAACATTTCATGCAAATAGCCGTTAACGTGACGTCAGACGAGGAGGCGGTAAAGGGGGCGGGGGTTGTTCCCTTGATGCTTTCAGGAGCCGATAGGGGAAAATGCAATCACGACTTCGACGGTGTATAAAAAGTGGTAGGCTAATTAACTCAGCTGTGACTAAAGGTATTGACATTACTCATAAAACACTTGATGTGAAACTGGAAATGTGACGACATCGATACCATGGAAACAGCTGGCTGAAGCCCACAAGACTGAATAATACTAGTACATGTCATTTTTGCTTTTGTATGATTTTATATGAATCTGCCCTTTGGGTTGTTTTATCTTTACTTCTTAAAAATACCTGAGGTAAGATCGGAGACCCCTTTCTTCATATTTGGCTCAATTCAAGGCACACTTTGTAAGAATTACAACATCTACTAGTCAAGATTGGAAACGCACCCTCATTCTTTACAGGTGGAGTTTTTACATTCAGGAAAATTTTATAGAAAAAATAAAACGTGAGCAGTCTCAGTGACCTCTCATTAGTTTTTTGAATGAGTTTTGAAGCTTATCAAAAGTTAGAAGATTGGACATAATAACTCATCTATCCTTCAGAGGCAATCAGGTGGAGCTGGGGTGGACCATTAGCCATACTGCTAGCAGCTACAGTGCACCTGCCTTTGAGTCAAGTCAGCTTTACTACAACATACCTAGACCAAAACTGTACTCTAAACCAGGCTGCTGTAATGACCAGCTTTTTAGAGTGAACTGCAGCCAAACCAGCCTCCAGTGGGAATATGTGGAACACATTTTTGTCTTAGTCCCTTGTTGACTATATTTTTGAAGAGTGGAAGTTGTTGCTCAGTCAATACACATTGCAAATCTTTTCTCTTAAACGTTGCAGTATCTTGTTTATGCCATGATGTTTAGACCAACGAGAACATGAGAATGAAGTTCATACTTCAAGTAGTAGTAGTCATAATCATTGTGTGGTCATTCTGGCTGAGAGGTCACAGCCAGCACAATATCTGTCATCTGGCATGGGCATGGGCATATATATATATATATATATATATATATATATATATATGTGTGTGTGTGTGTGTATGTATATAGGCCTTTCAAACAAATTTGTAAACCCGGTAGTCCAAATTACGAGCTTAGATTAGACACTGAAGGCAACATGTGTCGCTGCATGTGAAGCGAGATCGCGCAGTGCCATGAAAAAAAACGAGTTTACTATCCAATGCCCCGATGGATCGATTAAGCTGTTCTACTACTCAAATTATGCAACTTCAGCAGGCCTTACGCTCAAATTTAGAAATGTCAGTCCAAATATATCGATGGTTGAGGTTCCTGTGCGATATTTTATTGCAGTTCACTCCTACTGTGTGCCACCCTCAGAGCTGTCCAAAATGTCTTTAGAGTTGTAGCTGCCGCATGATGCTGTAAGATTGAGTGTTCATGTTAGGATAACCAAGAACTGGCATTACAAAACGAATTCCTCCACCTGATATCTCCCAACAGGCCCGACCAGCGTCAAGGCCAGAGCCCGATCAACCTTGATTTATCTCCACCGCCGGAACAAGGCCTTGTCCATTACGGAGAATCCGGGTGAAATAGCAAAACACACTCCAATCCTTGGCTGCTTTCCTACAAATGTGCCTTTATTCTGTCAATATCACGGCATGAACCATTGTCTATGTGAAGCTGAATTGCGAGCAGAGCCGTTAATGCTGTTACACGCATTACAAAGACCAGATTTCCATATTCTCTGTAGAGTCAAGGTCACACAAAGAGATGACATTTCAGGGGGCATCGTGTCGCAGGGATTTTCTGATGGATTTTCGCGGTGTTAAAATATCAAGCCCCTGGTTATGTGGCAGCCGATGTAGGTCAGCATCCTCAAAACCCACCGGCTTTAACTCCAGCGGGGTTATTTCTGTGTGCGGAGCCCTGACAGGACAGGCACCAGCCGGTTCTGTTATCACTTGGCACGGAGTGTGTGTAGACACGACTCACGGTATGAACCAGCAAACACAGACCTCAGGCAACATGGGGACTGGAAACAGAGGCTGAACTTGAATGAAGATTAAAAAATGTTGGCCACAGTGAAGCTTAAAAACCATGTATGTAGCTGTTTGTGCGCATTCTCTAATGTCTCTGGGTGTAAATGTTATCTTTTACATAAACATCTACAGCACTGATTCATTTTCGATGTAAGGTTTGAATGTAAAAACGCCAGATTGTTCATTTACCGGCTTTGTATTGTTTCATATGGTTGGACCAAATTAAATTCAGCAGTGAAAGGGTTAAAGTGCAGGGTTCCCGCAGGCTGCAGCGCTCGGCCTATTGCAGAGAGGCACGACTGACTGTCCTTATAAGGCAATAACAGCAAAACGGCGCTGAAAATCCCATCAAAATAATCACCCAGCACACGCACACTCGTCTAATTGTTCAAACTAACGTTATATGAGCACACTATCAAACTGAATAGTCTTTATTCTTCATCGAACTCACTCATCCTACATGGTGGGCTCGTGCGCGACGTGCAGGAGCTCCGGAGCGCGCACAAGGGTGCAGCGCCAAGCATGGAGTCTGTAAAATTCAGCTGCGTCATTCCTAAATGAACGACGAGGAGAAAAACATCGGCCGCTATTACAAGCAGAGGAGTCGGAGTGGGTGCGGGTCTCTAGATTCACTGACATGGAAGCCTTTTGTGAGGCGAGCACGAGACCGTCCAAGTGTCACCTGTCTGCTCCTCATCCGCCAGCCACACACACACACACACACACACACACACACACACACACACACACACACACACACACACACACACACACACACACATTACAGGATTGATCAGATATGGTTTTCAGGCGCATCGGCTCTTTTATCTGAAAGTGGAACAAAAGCTGCTGATGCCAAAGGTTGGTACAAAGAGCGCTCACGCGACACTATTGTCTCAATGTAAGAGTCTTAAAGCGTGGCACGTGCGGGCGGAATGTGATGCAGCACGTGCGCGTGTTATTCATGGTACAACACTAAACTTCACCTGAGCCGCGGCGCACATGATCCCGCTCACAGCCCACGGTACAGTTTAACATGTGAAAGACGGGATAACCAGCACCGAGATTTCAAACTCCTGAAGCAGCCGCTGTTCCTCCAGCTGTTTAGGCTTTATGTATTTCATGATATTTCGACCACAACACCAAGTATTGTGAGGGAGTAGCTCAACAATTCAAATAAAAGGCGAGAATGTGACCTACAGCCAATCAAACAGGTCTGGTGTCTTTCACAAAGATGGAGAAAAATAACGATCCATCCCTCTTTATCTGCACCTAATCTCCCGAAACTCATTATTGAATCAATAAAAGTTCAGAGTGTTGAAGTTCATGACAGTTTCTGAGGGGAAAAATCATCAATTAGTGTCTGTCTTCACAGTCATCATCCTGTCATCATGCACATTAAAATGTCCTTTACATTCAACAGCGCAACGTGCACGCAGCTGTGGAAAGTGACTGAGAGGACTTGGTAAGGATGATCGCTTCCCTTCGGCAAAAGAGAAACGTGACAGGAGAGATCCACAGGAAATTACATAGGAAGAGCTTTATTTTAGGAGGTGATTCTGAGTAGAGGAAATTAAACTGTAAACCTTTCTCACTGTATTTAAACAAATATGACGTTTTAGAGGATATAGGCAGAGACGAAATCATATATCCTGCCTGTTATTCCCTCTGAAAGCTCCTGGGTGCAAAGTCAGGCAAATGTGTAAATTGTATGTCTACACCTACACATTCACCTTTTAAACATGTTTTCAATATTGTATTCATAGAAATTCAAAAGTGGAAACACAGAAAAATATGACATACATGCAGAAACATAGTTGCTCTAATTAAATTTTACTTTTGTAGAGGTAAAATCCAAAGTCTGTGAATCTACTGAGCAAAAAGGACTACATTGGAATTTTACTTTTAAGTACTGAAAGAAGTAAGACATGCCCTCCAAATTGTGTAAAACACATGTCCCCAAACTAAGTATTTAATATAATGATCAAGTTTAATGCATCAAGTGCACCTATCTGGAGAGAATATTTTTGCTGCACTTTAGTCAACATTGAACTACATGGACGCTCATACACGACTAAAAAAATAACGACTATTGCATTTAAAGAAACAACTCAGTTATAGTAAAATGACTACATGCAGTTTGTCACTGTCTACACAGCAGACACAGCAACCCCCCCCCCAAAAAAAAAAAAAATAATTAATTAAATTAAATTAAAAATAAAATTAAAAAAAGAAAGAAAAACACAAAAAAGAATGAAAGAAAAACTGCCAGCTGACCAATAAAATGGAAAGCAAGTGTCCATGTCAGTCCAAACTACAATGACAGAGTTTAGACTTGGACTGAAGGTCAGAGATTGAATCTGTGAAATCAAATCTGAGCAAGATTAAAGAAGATAAAGAAGGTCAAGGCAGAGGCAGAACAGCAGTACAAGACACTCCAGAGCAGTGAGTCCACAGATTAGTGTCTTTTTATTTTAATAAATTCAATAAAAGGCCCCAGATCTTTAGAAACCTTGGATGATTGTTGGAGAGTGTTTACAGAATTATTGGCAGGAAACTATGCCTCTTCAAGTTATTTAAAAAGGAGTAAGGGAGAAAGAGTAAAAAGGTATTATTACAGAAAAGGCAGCCAGGAACTAGCTGTGTATACGTACAGTAGCTCGACAAGTGAAAAATGTTGCTCTAGAAACCTAAAATTTTAGGACACAGCCAGAAAAAAATGAACACTAGTCCCATCTCATTCACACACTTCTCACAGGGAGCACACAGAGAAGGGAAGTTTCTGTTAAACCTGGTCCTCAATGACCTTCAGCCCAATTAGTTGTGGTCTATCATTGTGATCCATGAAATCATTTTTTTCCAATAATTCATTTTAAACCCCCTCACCAATATCCATAACTTGTTATTTTTATGTTTTCATAACGGATAAGTTGGGTTTGTCATAGCAGCTAAGAAAAGTTCTGATTTAAAGCTCCTGTCAGAAAT